CTCGGGATGAGATCATGGGAGCTGCAGGCCTTGAGAAATCAGATGAGCAAAGATCTATATTTGTCTGGTGCCCCAGGATGAGCAGAGCTGGGAGGGTCCTTTCAGCCCAGTCCCAAAGTAACGTGTGTGCTGCTTTAACCTTTTTGAGTTTCAAACCACCTCCTACCTAATGGACCAAAAAAGAACAAGTAATAATCTGAGAGGGCGGGAGAGAAAATCTGTCAGTCTGAGTCAGACTATTGGACCATCAAGCCCAGCATCCTGTCTCCGAAACGCCGTCAGTATCTGACACTTCAGGCTTAGTTGGGATAATAAAACATTTTCCTCAACCTTATGTAACATCTCGGCCTGGCAAAGAGAAGGTTTAAACATTGATTGCTTTCCACTCCCCTCTGTCCCATGAATGTGAACCTGACTCTTTTCCAAAATGAACAACTCTGATGAGCTGGAATTGGTTTCTGGGCAGGATGGGAAAAGCTCCTCTCTCGTTACTCATTCCTGGAGAGATCCACTAAACCTTTGCCTCCTAAAAGGGGCACTCGAATGAGGAGACAAACGTCCCTCCACAGAGTTCTGGGTGCCCACGGCCACCTTTTCATGGGAGCTGGAAACGCACGTCACAAGACTTCATGTCTAGTCACTTTATTTTTCCCCATCATGTCTACTTCCTTTATTTTTGTATTTGTTTAAGCTCTCCATTAGTTTATTAGCTTGACAGCAGCCCAGTTAATTAGCCCGTCCTCCCTCCCCCAGCCCAAGCCCGCGAGGCTCCCCAAATGCACACAAAATTTAGTGCTGCTGCTGCTGCTGCTGCTGGGGCACTTCTCAAAACAAATAAAAGATTTGCAAAGCCAGCCACCAAGCATCCAACATAATTAAAGTGCATTTGTTACTTTTTGGGCCCTCGCACACAATCGGGGCCTTGTGCAGAACGAGCACTCCCCAAATCAGGCTGTTTTTCTTTCGGAGGGAAGAGTGCCAGGAGTCTCCCCAGCCCAGGTAACATAAGATCCCAAGGAGCAGCAAATGGACAGTGGCAGCCAGAGTGAATGGACTGTGGGGAGATCTATATGAAGGCGAGTATCTATAGATATATGCAAACATGCACAGACAGGGCGCTATAGTTCTTCAGGGGGGAAAAAAAAAAAGATTTTAAAAAAAAAAGCAGTGGAAAGGCTCCCAGAAATGACTGCTCCGTGCACAGGTATGTAAATGACTCTGGAGTCTCGCTGTCCACCACCTCAATCAATTACAAGGTTATTCAAGATAAAACAAACACCATTTCAATTAACTGCATATACAGCAGTGGTTAGAGGCACACGCAGGGAGAAGGAAGTGGGAGGAATTTTTGGAAAATGGAACTTTTTTCCTGCTGCTTCTGGAGATATGCACAAATAGAGGTTGCCTTGAGGTGCTGCGAGTAGAGCCGTGAATGGTCTTAAAAACTCCCAACCTAAAGCTGTCATGGTCTGAACTGAAAGCAAAATGAGGGGACAAAAATAAAACCAAGAAAGAGTGAATGAACATTTAAACATCTGTTTAGTTTGTGCTGGCTCAGAACAACCATTTGCAAGAGTCAGCGGGAGCAGAAATTGGACGAGATGCTCGAGGAGTGAGCACTGGTTTTGTTGGAGACAGGATGCAGAGAAGCCCCTCAGCAGTTCTGAGCAGCAGCTCTGTGTGAGTGCAGCCCCCTGATCCCAATTCCCAGCAGGATTCCCAGACTGGGAATGCTGAGAACACAGCTGGGTGACAGAATCTGACAACAACCTACAAATTCAGTAGTGGCTTGAGAAGCCAGGGCAGGAATGATGACAGGGACTGGGCAAACATCACCAGGGATGGTTTTCCACCTGTGCCACAGATTTTTGCCTAACGCTGAGCAAACCTTTCTACCTCCTCTCTTCATTTTTCACGCTTCTGTGCAAAAGTTCCTGGTCAAGAGGCCTTGCCCACTGCTCACCTGCAATCAAGACAATATTCAGGAGTTTTAGAGATTTTTCTACTTCTTTGGCTGATGCAATAAAACTAAAGACCAACTGGCTTTTTGGGGGGAAAAAAAAAAATTATTAATCAAATATTTCTGGATGAAATACACCCAGACCAGGAGATAGGATCAAAATTTATAGCCACACCACCATAAATCACCATCCAGTCTCCTGCAGCTACACTCGTGGTCATAAGCAATAAATTTACTGCAGTTGCCCAGTTTTCCTCGGTGACTTCAGCCACAAAAGCCGACTGTGAGCGTGCTGCTGAGAAGAACAAGCAAAAGCAGGTGTATTTGAAACACCCTCACGTTAGTTTTGGTGACCCCCATTTGCAGGGGATTGGGATCTGTCACACTTCCATGTGTCCTTTCACATCTCTGATTTATATTTGTGACAGAGCAGAAACACTGAGTTTGTCATTTATTGTGGTTCTGCCTAATGGGCAGGAGCTTCTTGGGGGCAAACTCCACACTTAATCCATGGAAACCTTCTCTTTGCTGGCTACAAGAACTAAATAAAATCTTAAATTTGGGGAGGAATCAAACCCAGCACTTATTCTATAATGATTCCAACCTCAAACCCTTGACATTTAAAGAGAAAGATGAGGTCCAAATGGCCTTGTTTCAATGCCCAATTAAATTCAGAAAAATCAACTCTTCCTGAGCCTTCTTCCCATTGCAAAAATGTTTTTTCCTCTCCTCTGCTCACTCGCTGCCAAGGGCCACCCTAAACACGCAGAGATCCCTGCTGAGCTCGGACACAGCGCTGGGCTTTTTGTGTATTTCCCAGGACTATTAACAGAGTAATATAATGAGAAATGAACTGAGGTTAAAGAATTCAGTACCTCGTGTATTTTCACTGAAAACACTGGCTGCATCAGGGGACCTGCCAAGAGGAGAGTTTAATATCGTATGAAAAGGAAGAATTTTCATAATGACACTTGGCAGGGGCTGCATCCCCCCCATGAATGGAGCTGCTGGGGCTTTCTCTCCTCCTCTCTCCGATTCTCCCTCTCCCCACAGCCCAAGGGCAGCACAAGGGATTTTCATTTTTAAGGGAACCACTGGAACCAAGCTTTGGGCAGCTCTTCACGGGGTGAGGAACTCACATTTGCCTATATTTAAGCACCTCAGTTCAGGAGGTATTTTGGGAAAGAAACTTTCAGGCTATGCAGTATCTTTCCAGTCAAAAGGTAAAAAGAAGACCCAGAATGCTCAGAATTTCCTAAATTGCCTAAAAATTTGGTTCCATGCAAATCTTTCTCCTCATTTTCCAGATCTAGATGGTGGGCCAAAACAACTACTTCCTTTGTAAATCACTTTGAGACTTTTTTATAAAAATGATGCAGGAAGAATTGCCTGAGCCACTAAAACCCTTGCAGCTCCAAAGAAACCAGATTCAGGATAAAGCAAATCCCACATTTTGCCTTCCATCCTTTTATAACTGGTGACTCTCCCTGAATTTCCTAATTCCAATTGTATTCACACCAGCACTCCAATAGCGCTCGGTGGTTTATGCTCTCTCACAGTGCTGCTTGTTCCCTTTTTTCTCATTCCCATCTATTTGGAAATGTCGTGCCATGAAAAAAAAATAAAGAGCAAATAAAACAGAAATGAATTCCTGAACAGGGATAATAATGTTCTGTACAACAGAGATCAAACCTCTTTGATGAATTGTTGTACTGTGCAGCTGATGCTGGTTCTCAGCGCAAAGCTCAGGCTCCAGCAGAAATTGGCCCCAACAATGGACTGGTTTCAAACAGTTTTATCATTTTTACTAAAACTTTGGAATCCAAACTTTGACTCCAATCAAACCACAACCTGACAGGCTGGCCTAGCACAGTTGTAGGTGGAACAAACACAACAAAACTCTCATCTGAGAAAGGCCAAACATCAGGGAAAACAATTCCTTGCGGAGGGATGGAAGAGCGGTGGCGGAATTCTGCTGGTTCCAGGTGACGTGTGCGAATGAAAACAATCCCACGGAGATTTGGGGGGCTCCACATCCACCCTCGGGGAGTCACTCCAGCCCTGCAGCAATAAAACCCAGCACAGGGAGCTCATTTTCCCTCAGACTCCGCGTATAAAGTCAGCAGAAAAATACCCTGCAATGAGCATTACAGAATGTAACTCTCCTTTGGAGGTGACGGCAGGGCCTTCATTTGCAAGTGATAAATGTCACTGCTCTTCCATCTGCAGCCTTTTAAAATCATTTTGAGGGATGTAATGAGGCTGCACAGCCTTGGAGGGACGGGCAGGGGACAGCGGAGCCATTTGAGCTTTAGTGAGTGTGTCACGGGGGAGTTGTCCTTTCTTTTTTTTCCCCTTTTTTTTTCCCAAAATGAGGTGCCCCAGGGGAAAGTCAGCAGCTCGAAGCAGCCCCACCTGAGTGTGTCTTGGGAGGAAGCCTACTGCCTCATATTTTTTAAAAGGGGAAAAAAAAAATTATAATAATAGAGCCGAGCCAAAAATATCAAGCAGTTCATAGCTGTGAAAAAGCCAGGGAAAGCTGAGTCGCCGCCGGCCAGTGTTGTTCTTCCAAATAAGCTGACCACCCTCCCTTCATAACATTTTATTTATTAAAGCAAAATTGGCCCACTGGAATAAAATTATGCGCTATTCATATACATATGTGTATCTATGAATGTATGGTTATTAATGACTGTGTTTCCATACAGCCACAAAGTCCCTATAGATTTATTTTTTGGGGGGGTGAGCTACTGAACTCGTTAGTGAGGGAAAAATTTAAACGGTGTGGACGGGACGGAGCATCAATTCAGTTACAGCTCAGTTGTAGCTGTTATAATTCAGCTATAACTCGATTATAACTCAGGTATAACTCGTTTATAATTCAGGTATAACTGGTTTTAAGTGTTGTAATTCACATTTAATTCGCTGGAACTCAGCGCAGGCCGCGGGGCCGATCTTGCACGCCGTTGCCGTGGCAACAGCGAGCTCGCCTCCCATTGGTCGGTGAGCGGCGCAGCAGCCAATCAGCGGCCGGCGTTTCCCCGCCGGGAAGATGGCGGCGGCGAGGCGCGGGCGGTCGGAGCAGCGGGGCCGCGAGCGGGGTTGGTTTTAAGGAATAAAATCAGTGGGAATTACTCCATCCCTGAGTAACTCCGGCCTTAACCAGGCCTTCCAAGCACCCTTCTCACGCATCAAATAATCCTCAGGGGCCTTCTGGTTTAGCATGCACAGAAACAGCCTCCTAAATAGCGGCATAAATTGAGCAAGCGCTGTAGAGGCTCAGAGCAGCACCTTCGCTGTATTCTTCTATTTGCCTTTTATTTTAATCCGCACTGTTTTAATTCCCATTTTAAAGTCCCCCGTATTTACCTGCAGTACAGTCTAGACAGCTAATGAAATAGTAAAAGCCCAGTGGGTTTTCACAAGAAGGTCAACAAAAAGAGAATCAGAAGTAAATGGATTTAGGAAGCGGATGGGTGCTGAGCGTGCCACAGGCAGGGTATCCCGGCTTTATCAGGAATATTCCTGTCATTCCTAAAATCCCTACAGGAATCACCCCCTTCTTCTGAGGACTGGGAAGGACCAGCAGGTCACATTTCCAAAATGTGCTTAAAGATGCAGTCAGATCCCAAAGGGGTTTTTCCAGACAGTTCATAAAACCAACTTGTGAGTCACCACTGGAAGCTAATGGGAGTAAGGCCTGGAACTTATCTAGGTGCTTTTAATAAATCCTACTCTTTCCATATCGACATGATTAAATGCATAATGTGCTTTTTTTAACCGTGACCCAGTGTTTATCCAGTGCCAAGAGCAGCAAGCTGAGCACTAAAATACTCCATACTTCTGGAAAATAGTGCCTGCTCTGGAGAATCCAAAATATTAACGAGCAGGTAATTGTGCAGTCAGATGGAGACAGAAATGAAGCTTCTCCCTCGGCACCTCACAGCAGGGTTTTGTCTTTTCATTTATGGGCAGATTCTAAATTTCAGAAGTTACTTCTGAGTTATCAAGACCAGATTTTCAGCTTATTTTTGTTTCTCCCAGTGAACATCTCCAGAGCTGTTGAGTTTTACACGAAACACGCTCCTGACTGACAGCAGTGATTTTTCTTTTAATGTTGTTTATTTATCATTCTTCTACAGATGCAGTTGGATAAAAATCCTTTTTGTTCAGGACCAGGGAAATCTCCTCGTACACTGACTAAAACACAGTCAATGATATTGAAATTATAAAATTCAGAGCCAGAAGGAAATTAAATATGTGTTGTAAATGAGTTGGACTTCTCACGCTCTACCTGGGTTTGGATATTTGCCTGATGTGTTCCTAAAAGTTCAAAACATTTAGGAATGTGTCTTAATGATGCCTCCAGGTATCTTCTGTGATATTGTGACGTGGAGCTTCTCAATGTTCCTCCTCTGTGACACTGAGCAGCTCTTCAGGAACTCCAAACTCGAGCCTGGAGCAAACTTAAATTGCTCTGAAGTGCCCCCCTTCAGCTTAAATAGCTTAGAACTAAATTTGTATTTTAAGAAAATGGAAGAAATCGGCGCTGTTGTTTTTCCTGAGGTGTTTTCTGCTTTTATTTGGGAACTTTAAATGGGGGATTTAGCGTGGAACCGCTGTGTTGGCTCCATGCTGCATTCCTGGGGGATAACTGGGATCAGGAAGTGGCTGCATCATAAAAAGAGTTGAGCAATACCATGTGGTGGAATTTTGGGTGACAAGAGTATTCCCTGAACATTTCAGAAGCTGGACACAGAGGAAGAATCCAGGCCCAAAAATAAAAGTTTCCTTACCTGAGCTGAGCATTTTTCACTCTCAGATGAAAGTCGTTGCATCAAACTCGATGGAGACACAGTCGATATTCCATAAGTGGCCAGGAGAGGAAATCCCAGTTTAAATGAGTCACCATTTTTGTGCAAATATTAACTTTGGCTGATAGACTTTTCTGCTGATATCTCTTTTCCAGATCTGTCTCACAGTACATTGTCTTGGCTCTATTGAGCTGGAGCCTTTGGTTCTTTGAATAACTTTCCTTTTTCACTTTTTTATCTATTTATTGTATCTGAAAGGTAAAGAAAACACAATTTTCCCCATGATTCCGCTTCTAGCAATGCAGTATTAAATTCTGCACCAGTGGAAAACTTTGATTTAATAATGGCAAAAAGCACAATGCTGAGGATTTGGGCTTCTGTGCTAAAACGAGTGGAAAATCCAAGAATCTGGCAAGCCCTGCTTCCCAGGATCTCCCTGCCCTTCCATCCCCATGCTCCCACTGGTTTATTTTAGAAATAAGAAGAATTTATTCTAATAATTTCAAATTTGTTTTGAATTTATGAGAATTCTTTAGAATTTAGCTTGTGTAGAAACATTGCATGGGCACTGGAATTAACACTTAATTTTGAAAAAATCTTCATATTCCCCAGCAAAACATTCTTCAAGGTTGCACCCACCAGCTGTTCAGAATTAATTACAGATGATGAGAAGAGAGGAAATTAATTAAATATTGCTCATGCCTGGTTCCTGATCTTACAAACCTCAACAGCTGCAGTGGAGGAACACGGGAACGCAGAGCTGGAATCCACAACTCCAGGTGTCTGGAGGAGATACAGAATTTTGAGCATTTGAAGCTGGGGCTGTTAAACACATGGAAATTGAAATAAATCCCTTTTTAACTTATTCTTTATTGCTCTCTTTTTGTTGTGTGGGTGTTCAAGGTGATAAAGGACATTTATCTTCCCAGGGTCCACTGCTCCCATGGCATTCCCTGTGCTCCTCTCAGACCTGCAGACAGAACACAAAATTAACTTTTCCAAGCAGTATTTTTGGGAGGGTGGCTATAAATAACCCAGGTTTGGACAATGTACCAAGGCTCACACCCTCAGCCTTGGAAATTGTGCCCCAGGATCATCCGTGGCCACAAGTGGGCAGGAGTTGGGATTTGGCATCCCACAGGGACATATTTTCTTCCTGACCTCAACCTTTGTGTCCCTTGTGGTGGCAGCTTCCCCTGCAGGCTGGCAGCTGGGGCCTGGGGACACTGGAAATAGCCAACATTTATTTCATTTATTTCATTTATTTCACCCGTTCTGTCCTTCCTTTAAAATGCACTGCCCAGATAAGGGCCAGCCAGCATGGAAGGGAACTGGGAAAGGTTCCACGAGCAGATTAACTGAGGGAGGAAGAATTCCAGGGCATCATCTGGGAGCTCTGTCTTGTTTTGCTGCTTTGTTTGACATTGTCAAGTTTGTGCCGTTTAATTTTGGGTCCTTGTTTCATCTTATTTTTGGACTTCGGGGCTGTTGCAGAGTTACCGAGTCCCTTTAGCACTTATCTTATCTGGGTTTCCTCATTTCCACTATTAGGTGATGTCTGACACCTTTTGGGTCCAATCTGGTTGTCTGGACATGCAGTGAGTCACTCCCCCAGCATTTTCCGACCTCCCCTCACCCCTGCTTTGAGGGGAAACTCTTTTCATCAGGTTATCCCAGCCCTTTGATGGCTACAGCCACATCTGGATGAGGGTTAAGATGGAAATCTTACAGAAAAATAAAGAAGGTGTTCTGGTCATTCTTCAGGAGGGAATGAAGTTGGAGGATGTGGGAGGTACTCTGGGTGTTTTCAGATTGTTGGGAGTAGTTCTGTGTTATGCAGCAAAACCTGGTGCTCTGGGTGCTGCTCACTGCCTGCAGAGCAAGGGAATGAGCCCAAGTGTTAAACAAAGAGCTGTGACAGCAGGAGGACACAAACACTCTCATTTCACCCGTATCTATCTGCTCTGATTGATTCCTGATGATGCTTTTCTCAGCCCCGAGGCCCTGGACACTCAATTTCCACCTCACTTTCTGCTCTCCAGCATCCCAGAAGAGCCGAGTGATGCGAGCTGGGCCCGGGTTATCACCGATTATTGCTCAGCAGTGGCTTTGATCCACCGCGGGCTGATCCCATCGCAGCCGGGGTTGTAATTGCATTCCAATGGGTATCCCTAATTCCCCCGGAGTGCGGACAGCAATCCTCTGAAGTCAGGCTGCTTCCTCTGCATTGGGACTGCTGGCAGGTGCCCAGTGTTTACCGACTCCTCTGAGTCATTTGCCAGTGTGATGCTTGGCTAAAAAAAAAAATTGTTTCCAAGAGCCCTATCATCATTAATCATTAATTAATGCGATTGCCCATGGTTGGAGCTGAGCAGGTGCCTCGGGCCGGACGGGAAGAGCCTGTGGCACACAGAAGGTCTGGGCTGTCCCCATCCCATCCCTGCCGGGTGATCCAAGTCACTCAGCAGTGGCAGGACCTGGCATTTTTCCCTGCCCAGAGGAGTTTGCCATCTGAAGAAGCACTGCTTTCTTCATCCTGCCTCTCCAGCCGTTCCCACGTCAGTCAGCGGGATGAATTCCCATCTTGCTTTTATTGAAATGGAAATGAAGGCGCTCAGGACTTCACCTAACCTGCTGAGGGAGGCTGGATTGCAGGGAGCATGCCAGGGATGAGTTCAGGGCTCTGTTCTTCCAGCTTCCACCCTTGAAATGTGCTGGAATTACGGTTTGGGTATTGAAACAAGGAGAAAAAAGGGATTTGAGGGGGCTGACAAATGCCAGCACTCAAATCTTGAGGTATAATGCCAGAGTGGGGAGAAGTGGGGGCAAGAAATCAGTGAGGGAAGGGGTGGGTGGTTCAAAGGAGGACCTAAACCAGAGCTGCACATCTGGCTGAGGTGAAGGATCCAAATCAGAGCTGCACATCTGGCTGAGGTGAAGGATCCAAATCAGAGCTGCACATCTGGCTGAGGTGAAGGATCCAAATCAGAGCTGCACATCTGGCTGAGGTGAAGGATCCAAATCAGAGCTGCACATCTGGCTGAGGTGAAGGATCCAAATCAGAACTGCACGGCTCTGTCACACCTGAGGAAGCCTTTGGGATGTGAGTAACAGCTCCCAGGTTCCTCGATGAGACCTGCAAAGTGCTCAATTAAAATATGATTGGTTTACTGGGGGAAAGACAATTAGGAATGAGTTGATGGATGACTTGCTGCTGCTGGATTTGAGAGCCCTGTGTTCTGAAGTCCCTCCCAACATTTCTCACTTAGCTGTTAGACCAGAAATAAAAGTTTTTGCATTAAAAAGCACTTTCATAAATCATCTCCATTTTGTTTATTAAGCAAAAAGAAAATAATGCTAGAAATATTCATCATGTCAGCCTTTTAAAACATTTTTATCCCAATACTCAGGGTGATAAAAACATCTTCTGGAGCAAAAGAAAGAGCAAGAGAGTGATGGGAGTCTTTAGTTCCCATAAATTTAATTGCTATAAAGTCTGGACACCCTGGGCGGATGCCTTGGCTCAAAAAGGACCTCCTGGCTCCTCCTTTTTGTCTTGGTTTTTAATTGGAGCCAGGAGCAGGAGCCCAGCATTTGCCAGGTGAATGCAAGCTGTGCCCTGGCAGGACGCCTGCAGAGCCATTACTGGTTTGGAGATTAAAACAAGGACAGGGAAAGGGGTGGAGAGGGAGGAGAAGGAAACCCGAGAGAGAATAGCAAAACACTTTGTTCTAATTCAGGTGAAAAAGTTCATCTGGGTGTCCTCACAGAGCGTCTGCCACGTACAGGGTGGAGGAGGAACAAATTCCTTTTGGGCATGTGTTATATTCCCGAATTACCCCGGTGTGCCAGGCTCTAGGAGCAGCCTCAGGCTGCTGCCTGCTCAGACATCATTCCAGGGGGGAGCTCTGGGAGCAGCTCGGACACGGGGCTGATTTTTGGGTGCTGTTTGTGGTGTTGGGACTGAACCACTGCAGCTTTGGCTGTGTTTGATCCCTGCCTCTCTTTCCTCAGCCTTGAAATGTTCACGATCCTGATCAGAGCACGAGGAACTGAGCGCTTTCAGCTCCTGCCTGGCAAAGCCCTGGCAAACAGAGCCTCTGAGCCCATTTTCCTCTCCTGGTGGGGTTTTACTTCTAATGGATTTCACAGCCAAATCCCACAGAATCACAGAATGGTGGAATGGTTTGGGTTGGGAAATCTCATCTCATTCCACCCCTTGCCATGGCAGGGACACCTTCCACTATCCCAGGCTGCTCCAATCCTCATCCTTCAACACTTCCAGGGATGGGGCAGCCACAACCTCTTCTATTCTTTACACATCCACACTTTCTCTTCCTTTAGGCAATTAATTCCTGTTATTAAACCCCTTAATTCCCAGATTTTCCTGCACTCAGTGCTTGGTCACTGATGGCAAAATCAGCCTTGCACCAAATCCCCCTGAAATTCAGCGTTACCGCTCCCACAGAACCCGTCTGCTGGGCCAAATCCAGAGAATTTTCTGATACAAAATAATCTCTTTGCAAAATCAAAACTGCTCCTAGAGCCTGCCACGGTTTTGCCAGAGAAATTCAACTCATCGGTGGGGAAATGGAACTGACAGCATCCTGCCTGCCCACCTGGAAGCCTCACAGTGGAATTATTTTATTTTTTTTTTCAGTCTATTGAAGGAAAAAAAACCCTGAAATAAAATATTTCTTTAAATTTTCAAACAAACAAATAAAAACTTAACAGAATTTGGAAATCCCTGCATGCAAATGAATTTATATCAGGGTTGTTGCTGTCGTTTTATTGGGGTTTTTGTCCCTGTCAGAATAATTTCCATCATTAGTTTATAATGGGGTTTTTTTTGTTTCTTTTCTTTTTTTTCTGGAGAGAAAATTCCATTTTCAGACAAGTTTTGGACTAATGAATTGAAACGAACTGGGAACACAAGGTAAAGAGCAGAGAGAGCAGGGAAGGAGTCACAGGATATGCTTGACCTGGGAAAAATTAGTTCACCTATTTGACAAAAATTATCTTTTGGCTGAGCCAGAGCCATTTTCCTGTGGAATAGAGTTGGTTTCTAATTGATTACACGCAGAGGCCACTCAGATGTCTGAAAGGCAACGCTTGGACATTTTTATTCTTTCTTTTATTGAAGAGATCCCAAGTTCAAACCAAACAATTTTTTGAGCTGCCATGTTTCCCATTATGTTGGTAATCAATTCCCTGGAATTCTCTTGGCTGGAGATGTGAGTTCAGACCTCAGAAGGATTTCTGCACTTAGGAAATCCTAAAATAAAGTCCAGTTCCTTTTCTGGAGTGGCTGAGACACCGAAAGCCCCAGGAAGGGGTTGGTCCCATCATTATTTCAGTTATGGGACCTTTCCCTAAACGACAGCGAATTTCACTCGGATGTGATTGTATCCTCTCATTTTATAAATAACCACATCCAAGGTCTTAGGGGAATGACCCTAAAATCCACCCCAAATTCCCTAACATATCTATATCCCATATTTATTTGTTGGAGAAGCACTTGTCTTTATTTGCCATTGTTTGTGCTGAGTAAACTCCTTGGAGACAAGGAGCAAATTCCTCGGGGAGCTTGTGGCCAGATCAATTTGTGGAGCTGTTTCCATGTTTTCTGATGCAATCCAGTGTAACAATGTTGTATCCCAGTAAACATGGAAATGGAGCAAGGAAAACATTTCTCAATCCACTTCCTAAAAATACTGCTCTGGCTGGGGAGGGGCTCGGGTTTTATTCCAGGAGCTCGTTCAAGCCCTCCTCAGTTTCCACAATGTCTCGGATTTGACTCAGGCTTGGATTTCATGGATTTCTGGATTGGGTAACAAAGCGCTCCGTGGGCCAAATGCCCACGAG